GTGAACGTTATAACGTTATGCAAGCTAGCTACGGCTAAAGAAAAACTCGAGTCAATCATTGTTGTCCACTCGTGTTTCATTAAATATTAATTAATGTAACAGTTAAGCATTTAAACTAACTAGCTATATCTTTAGCTAATTAATATAATGTTAGCCTCTTCCCTGTGAAACAAACCTGGTGGTTGGTGCTCTTATGACCAGATATAGCTTACCATAGGTAACATTACTGACATATGTTTTTGCTTTACTGCACAGAGGTCAGGACTCTTTATTGTTGCCTTAAATAGCCTGACATTTGTGGGTTAGCTGAGTAAAATAAATAATGCTGAGACCACCAAAAGCAACTGCGAGGACCAGACCAAGAGCCGTCCTGGAGACCTTGTTGAGCCCTGTTTACACTCGGTTTTATAGTGTGCTTTGTAGCCGTATTCACATTTAGAAGTTGTTGGTAACATATATAACCATGTTTGTGATCAGAGTGTATCTAGCTGTACTGATGGTAGTCGAGCATGATTACGATTGGATCCGTGTGTGAGTCAACACAATGCAGCCAGCTCAGCTACATTCACCATTTAACATCATGTTAAACCTTTCAAAATTGCTCCCGCCTCCCTCGTTCAGTTAATTTAAGGGGTCTATATGTGTGTTCAAAAGTGGGATTACTAACGAGAAAGTTGAAAAGGTGTTTGTCACCTGAGAACAGTGTCCACACTTCTCCCTCAACTCCTGGGAGTGATTTTAACCCGTATTTTTATGTTTCAGTTGTGGCTGCTAAGCAAAAGCATGCATAACTGTCATTTTCTGTCTAACTTAAAATGCCTGGAATGCTCTGCATCATGATTGCAAAATGTGTGGGGAAATGAGATCTGATCAATATCTGGATGCAGAATCTACTTTTGAAAAGGACAAGTGTAAACTGGATGATGACTGGATGGTGGTCTGATGTAAATGCCAAGTGTAAGCAGGGCCTTGGAGGACCAAGGCCAATCTCAACGTGCTCTGTGTGGGTTCTGACTGAGCTGAACATCATCAGTTCTCAAACCTATTTCAGCAAACAATTCGCTCACTCATTTGAACTAGTTAGAAGTGCATAAAATGTGTTTGGCCCTTGCAAAGGTTAGGACAATTTGTATTTTATTTTTTTCCAATTTGTTAGACTCTGCCCAAAAAATTAAAAACAAAAAAATTGATTTGAGGCACTGCTTAATTCAAATTGGTGGAATTTAAGCTTCCCTCACTTGTTAGCTACATTAGCCTCATAGCTACAAAACTGAAGAAGCAACCTTCAGGACACCAAGCACACACTGGCTGCTCCACTACACATGGGATGAGAGAAAAAAGCAAAAATTAGATTACTGTTTTACATAATTAAACCTAATCCGTACCCTTATATTATACAGCAGTGAAACTGTACACTGAGAGCATGAGGCTGCACCTACTGCCATGTGAGCTTGCGTCTTCATGTGACTATATATAACCTGCGACAGCAGCGTGGTCCCAGCTGTGCACTGCTGGTCAGAGCAGGAGAGGAACTCAGAGGGGAGCTGTGGTCTCCTATAGCTGCTATTCTCAGAGATGCACTAGTAATTATCCACCCATCACTTCGGGGCACGCCTAGTCCCCACCCAAACCCAACAGAGGCTAAAAGCAGCATGTGCTAAACCCCATCAGCACTGACATCGGCCCAGATGGTTTGTTGTAATGTTCCTGTTCCTTTGTCTGATATGGATGTGGCTGCTGACTGCAGTGAACATGAACGCTCTTTAATGTCACTGCAGCAGTTTTATTACTCAGAGCTGTTAGAGGACTTGATATGCTATGGACTAGTAGTGAAATGCACAAATAACATGCTAAACGAGTGTATGTGTATATGTAAAAAATTCTGAATGGCTCATATCCTTTATGAATCAACCTCTCTTTACCCCTTAGAATGAATGTTTTTTTTTTGTTACTGTGCCTTTAAGACTGATATATATATATATATATATATATATATATATATATATGTATATATATGTATATATATATATATAAATATATATATATATATATATATATACATATCATTTGAACTAGTTAGAAGTGCATAAAATGTGTTTGGCCCTTGCAAAGGTTAGGACAATTTGTATTTTATTTTTTTCCAATTTGTTAGACTCTGCCCAAAAAATTAAAAACAAAAAAATTGATTTGAGGCACTGCTTAATTCAAATTGGTGGAATTTAAGCTTCCCTCACTTGTTAGCTACATTAGCCTCATAGCTGCAAAACTGAAGAAGCAACCTTCAGGACACCAAACACACACTGGCTGCTCCACTACACATGGGGTGAGAGAAAAGTCAGCAGTCAGCAGCCACATCCATATATATATGCAAACGAGCTCTGTTCATCACACAAAAAACAGTCTAGACTTAAACACTTCTTATAACTTTAGTATGAATGGGCGGGGCTACACTTCTGTAGACTGAACAAAAATATAAACTCAGCATTTTGGGTGTTGCTCCCATTTTGCAGCAGTTCGTGTTGTGCTGCTACAGGTGAATGGTGGTCACACCACGTGCTAATGTGGGAATTCTGTTTCACTGCTCACCCTGTTTTCCACTACTTACTTTTTTGCAAAGTTTCAGTAAAATCTTTTCAGCAAGAAGTGTTCATATTTTTGTTCAGTATATTTGAATGCTTTTTGTAACATCACAAAAACAAGGAATTTAAAACAGGCTGTTTTTGCAGCTCAGTTTCTGTGTATGGACTCAGGTGGGTGAATGGTATGTTTTAAAACTTTAATACGACATTAAACTTTTATTTAAACAAAAGCATGAAAAGTCAGTTTTCCATTATATAGGCCCTTTAAAAATATACAGACAGTCTCATGCAAACGTTTGAATACACCTGGTCAGATGACATGTTTTGTTGATTTTCTAAGTGTAAGTAAGTTAACACATTCTCTAGAGAGAACACACTTAAATGTGGCACCATTACTGAGTTCAACATAATGGAAAAAAATAAAACACAATATGAAAAATGTGCCATACATTTTACACAGGCCACAATTTATGTTTTAATTTCTTTCAACAAATAAACAGCTTTTGTGTATTAAAATGTGTGGAATCGTGTTCTCTGTAGAGGATGTGTTCAATTATTTTCACTTCAACAGATGAAAATCAACAGAGTTGCTGACCAGAGGTGTTCAAACTTTAGCATATGACTGTATGTACTGTGCAGGGACTGTCTTACATACAGGTTTGTAAAGCTAGCTAGCTAACATTTTAGCTAACATTAGTCAGCCTCTTGTTTGGTGGGTAAAATAAACCGTTTTATCAACACACATTTCAAGCTTGAACAAATCACACCGTTAAATAAAGATTGGAGGGTGAAACAATGCCAAAAGTCACAGGTGTAGAAGCATCAGATATGTTTTATTTTGTGCGCTATTGACATTCACATCGATTTATTACATTTATAAATTCATTTACAGAGATATTACATTTAGAACTCATTATTTAGGGGGCATTATTTGCTCCTGTGCTTGTGTTTTAAGGGGGCAAACATGTTGAAGGGGATTTTGATCTGTGGCAGTGGTTGTTTCTGAGGCTCTGTACGTTTTCCCAAAGCTCAAACAAGTAACACTGGATCTCTGAGACAGGAAGCTTACTACCACGTTCATAATTTCAAGAGCTATGTTGGACTATGTACTATCAGCTGTAACATATCAGCATTGTTATATATGCAGTAAACCTCTATATTATGCCTGTATGTATGTATGTATGTATGTATGGTATCTGTTACAGCAAAATCCTGTTTTTATGATTTGAGGAACTAGGCCCATCTGTCAACATGATTGACAGTTTTAATGCAAATGAGACATTTTCCCATCCAGAGAGCTGCTATGAGGCTTCTTGTCCTTAAGAAATGACAGCAGGTTTTCTGAGAGAGAAAGCTAAATCTAGTGCTGGAAGAGTTAATGAATCTCCATCAAACATACATACAGACACAGTTTTTCTTTAAGTATATATTATATGGCCCTATTCTGTTATAGCTGTTCTAGTATGGATTGGAACTGTTTCAGTGATGGTAATAGCAATGGAGGCAAAAGAGAAGCATTTTTTCGTAACATTCAGCTACATCAACCTACATTATATTGCAAGACCTTCAGTGCAGCCAATGGGGAGTAAATAGAGTAAGTACATTACAATATGTTTGCATGTGCATGCAGTGTTCTCAAGAATTATAGACAACCACTTTATGAGCAAAAAAGGCTTCAGGAAACCTGCCTTTGTTATTTATCAGCTTGATCTTACCCTGAAAATATGAGAAAAAATCTAACCTTTCTGTCAAGAATAGCCATTTTCTCAAAAACACATGTAAGTTCAAGCTGTTAAACAACAAAGACATTTTCCAGTAGCATTTTTACTCATTTGTATCAAAGGTGTCAGTAAGCCATGTACTGAATATCTTACACGTACACCTGCACACTGAGCATATTTCATAAGTCAACAGAGGAAAATGTACTATTTGAGTACTGCACACTGCATTAGTCTTTTATTTAGCTCCTCGAGAGCATGCAGTGAGAACAAGATGTTGATTGGGACTGACTGTTCTACTGTGAGTGCATTAGGATTGAGCACTCTGAATGGGGAGTGACAATTAAAGTACTGTCTGTTTCCAGCATCCAGCTAAGATTAGGTAATTAGAACATGCTACTGTTACAATAGTTGTAGACACAGCAGAGCAGAGTTGTAATGTTAAAAAGTAGCAATACTCCCCCATGTAAAGCTAAAGCTTACACACTTAAAAAGATGGTTCTTCATGGGTTCTTTAGTAAAGGCAATGGTTATAATTAGAACCATGAGTTCTATATAGAAGCATTTAATGCTTAAATAGCTTTTTGCATGGTGAAATGGTTCTTCAGTTTGATGGAGAATGTGTCATATATGGTTCCATACAGAACTGGTTCTTTATAGCACCAAAAATGGTTGCAAGCTTGACATTGTAACAATAAAAGAACCCATTTTGGTGCTATATAGAACCATGTACAACACATTCACAATCAATCTGAAGAACCATTTCACCATGCAAAGAAACCTTTAACCATAAAATTGTTCTATATTGGACTCTAAATGGTTCTAAATAGAAAACAGAAAACACACTTTAGCAATGTCATAAGAATTACAAAAGGTTGTTACTTTTAATGGGTGCATTAACATCACTGCAAACCAGCATCCAAAAACACAACATATGTTGGTTTTGCAGCATAACAGGTTGCATTGCTGCTGACCAGCTTACCTGCATATGCTGGTTTTGCTGGTGACCAACTATGCTGGTCTGTGCTTTTTCTAGCATTGTTATAGAAACAAAGTTTAGCTAATTCTCTTCCAGGTGAGGATGCAAAGCAGAATTTTGTCGTTGTTAGAGGTGTGTGATATGTATCTTCTTTGATATCTTAATTGTTGTTTTAAGCATGTCCAAGCTGACATTATCAAGTCACTCACTTTGCAATAACCGATCGAAACTATGCCTGAGTCCACACATACAATGTGTCACGTAGCTTAGTAAGGCATTTATTTGCAGAATGATTCTGCAAAAGTTTGCTGAGTGTGTTTTTGTGCTGGTACCTTCGCTGGTTTAGGCCTATTGTGGACAGCTGACTCTCGTGTGGTGACCATGTGCGCCTATACTGGCACACTGCATGCACTCTCAATGTGTATATGCAGCAGTCCATACTGCTAAGCTACATGATGCAGTGAATGCATGGACTCTCGAGGTGTGTTTTTGATTGGTTTTTGGGTGCCTCTATGAAACGCAATTTAAGTGAAATGGATCTTGTGTTTGTTAGGATGTTTAGAAATACAAAAAGGAACAATGACAATAAGCAAAACTGTTCTTATGTGAAATATGTTATTATTTGTGTTCTTGCTTGTATGCTGCACTATTCACCTTATAGCAGAGCAGTTAAATGTTTATCCAAATTGTAGTGTCCATGCCCTGCAGTTCAATTATGATGAGTATTTTTCTTGGATACATCTTGTTTATATTAAGGAAAAGTGTCTGTTTAAAATGCTCTTCTTATAAGTTTTTGTTGGTCTTTGTGAACATTTTTACAAAGTAAATCCTGTAAGCCACTTTGAAATGGTTTACACATACTTGCACTGTTTGACCTCAACAATACTTGCACTGATCATTTCAGTGGTTTTGTATTGTTTTTACTAAATAAGTAAATTAACATTAGCAAGTGACAATTAATATCCTACTAACAAGAGTGAGCCGGTAAAATATAAGACTTTTACAAACACATTTTTGAAGGATGCGAAATATTGTTAAATCTCAGAAAATATTGAGATATAATTTTTTGTAATTATCGCACACATTTGAATTTCAAATTAACTAGCCAGTTAGTTAACGCTAATGTTATTAGCTTGTGTGCTAGCAGACACGGATTGAGTGTTTCTTTGCTAATATTTTATGCCTCTCCATCATAAACAAATAATTAACAGTGAATTAAGAGCATTGAATCTTTGTTTTTCCCAACGTAGTTCCATCTCCACAGCAGACACACAAGACAAAGTTAAGAACTCCTGTAACTGCCAAGTTAAAAGCTCCTTTAATTAACTTGCTCTGATATCGACCGTGTCTTTGAGCATACTGGGCTGGTGTTATGCTTAGATTCTTGCCAGATCAATGTCCATCTCCTCAGTATAACAGATGGTGCTGTGAGATGATTGGGCAGCGAACCATGCCGCTGTGCCTTTGAACTGCTAGATGCTTCAGAAACAATGTGACTGAAGAGTCATGCCGGTGATGGATCATAACATACATGAGAAAGTGTGTCAATATGAGGAAGAGAAAATGAAAGCACACGGTTCTTTTCTTTCCATAACATTTATACATATTTACCTATCTAACATCCTTATTACAAGTGCACAGCAAGAGGGACAGGGGGGTTCTGTCATCTCAGACTGATCATTATATTACAATATGAGACTGATTTCTTATAAAAATTTGGTGTTTGCCCAAAACACACTAGCATGTTAATATGGCAAATACCGCCTTAGTTTCATTGACATTTACTGTACAGTTTTTGATGATTAAGTCATTCATTTGAGATATTAAGGCATTTACATCATTCGTTATTAAAGGTATATATATGTCTCCATGAAAATAAAGAACAGTCAGAGGAAAGAAACATCTGGATAAATGATGATGGTTGTAACATGGAACTGATAAGAACAGAAGGGCTGTTTAAAAACATTGGTCCCCTCCAGGCTTTGCTTGGTTCCAGAGAAGAACCCCTCCTACTTTCAGAGATACAATCTTCTGTGATGTTGAAACAAACACATGGAGACATTCCAAGACTTTTTGGAGAGGAGAGGCGCAGGGGCTCGCACCGTTTGATGTGAAAAATGCCACGATGGACTTTATGATTATGAGGGTGGATGGTGGTTTATTTGACAACCAGTGTCCAGGCTCAGAAGAATCTCTCTCAGGTCAACATATGCTGAATCCTGAATGAAACCTGCAGGCCGCGTACTGATCTGCTAGTCCGATAACTCTGTTGATGTTTCAATGAATCCTTCATTACAGCTCAGAGAACAAATATACATGGCAAGGCCTCGGAGCGTAGGAAAAACATTCTTCTATGAACAAGCTATGGCACAGAAACGATTAAACATACTGTCTTTCATTTCTTTTGCACTTTACAATGGACCATGGTATACAGACAGCACATTGTGTAGCATACGCAACTCATCTTTTTAGGCAGGGAACGTTTTCTTCTACTTTCTCATCAGACAGAAATCCCAGCTGCAAAAAGTCATAATAATCTCTTCTATCTGTCCAGGAAAAGCATACCGGTCCTTCCAGAATGATTCTGATTCTTGGCCTAAGCGATGAAGCTCTCCTGCTTCCCAGTATCCTTGACTTCTTCAACCCCTCACTCTAGGCACTCTTGCCTTATGTGCTACCTCCTCATCCTCTCTTTTCTCATTGCACTCTTGCTCTCCGATCCCTCCCTAGCTGCTGATCTTGGTCAGCATCTTGTTGATGGCCTGCTTTACGTGCGTGGTGGAGCTACGGCGGCGGGTCTTCCCTTGCACAGCCCTACGGCGTCGCACCTCGCGGCACAGCTCATAGAAGGCCTCTGCCACACCCCCGCCCGTGCCTACGTGGTCAGCACAGGCTGAGCACTCATAGAAGGCACAGGCCATGTCAGCTGCCAGCCGCTCGCCTTCCTCCGTGGCCACCTGCCGGGCGTGCTCCAGGTCCGCCTTGTTGCCCACCAGCACCAGCGGCGCGTGCTTGGGCCTCTTGACCTCCTCCAGCAGACCACGCAGTGGGGCCACCTCCTCGAAGCTCCCACGGTCAGTGATGTCGTACACCAGGACAAAGCCATCGCCCCAGCGCATATGGCCTTCTTTCTGCAGCAGGTCCTCCTGGAGGAGGGGAGTGAGAGTGTGAGAGTGGGCTACAAGAGAGGGTCATTTACTAATGAATGTGAGTTAATTTATGTATGTATGTGTTGTACCTTATAGACTACTGACAGAGTGTTCTTACCCCTTATATATCATTTTGGTATGGCTAAAAGCTGTGCCTGTGCTAAACATAGCAGTTTGTGCTGTGATTTTGTGGGAGATGTGAGTGTGCCTATATATATCGCCCATCACCCCTCTGTAGAAAAACAACTTTGTCATTTGTACTAAAACATGCCATTATTTGACCTAAGCATTGCCTTGCTTGTTTTTTCTGCTATAATTTGCAAAAATCTTACTTTTTATTTGTGCAGTATGTGTTCATTTGCACAGAAAATACCTAAAATAGAAATTTACATTTTTGCAATTGCTTTTGTTAGTTTGCTGTTTGTTGATTTATCCATAGTGCTCCTGCAAATACTCTACAAAGTAGTCTGCTGAAGCCACGAACCAACGTTTCTGATATTACCGATATCGCTGGTATCAGCTGTATGTTTTGCTTACTTAAGACTCAACATCGTTCAGTGATAAATAAATAAACATGACACGTGTTGGAAATAGCAGATATCAGAAGATCCATCAGTGGAACTTCTTATTTAAAAGCTCTAAATGATAGGGCTACATTAGCAGAGCAACAGCGCATCATAGCAACAGCATGCAAATAGTTGGACTTCATGCTGGATCTACAGGGGGTTTGAAGGGTCAAACTAGGAAAATAGTAAATTTGATTTTTCCTTTGTGTATTAATACACACCATAGGCCCTCATCTCAGTACAGTACAGAGCGGGCATAAGAACATGCTAACACTACAGAATGGTGAAAAACGAATTCAGGTAGACTTTAAAGCTCAGATGTAAAAACTGACAGAGCACTGGTGTGTATATCCTCATTCATTCATGTAAGTGGAGTCATGAGACAGCAGAGTGAAAAAACTTCAGCATTGTGCAGTTTAGCAGTCGTGTAAGAACTCAACATCCCTTCGTCCAGCTGTGCTAGAAGCGTGCAGATGTTAAGGTCAGAGAGTGCTGCTGGCTGGCGAAACACAGCGATTCCAAACAACCGCACAATGATTGAAGAGAAACGAGACGTTTTTAAACAATATATACACAAACTCTCTGCACTCTCACCAGTTATCTGGTGTTTATGGCTGAAGGCAGGGCCTTGGCATAACTGGGCACAGCTCTTGTCAGAGATTTCTTTTGTGCGGACAGCTTTAGTCTATATTCTAACCTTTCTCTCTGGCCCTTAAAAAGAATAAAGGTAATCCAGACTGCTGGCTCTGAGACAGGCCCGTCTGGAAACGCTTCACCAAAGTGCTGTGCTAAAATAGAGTGCAGTGTAATGAGAGCCGAATGACTTGGCCGTAAAGAGGTGTAAAAGAGAAGACACGTGGCCAATCAGGATAAAAACATGTTTTTGGTGTCCAAAACGACGTCCGATGTGAAGGGATCAACAGTGTTATGTAAAATAATGTAATATTATTTGTTTTCACTTTTCATTTAAATGGTACATGATACATAGTTTCATTTTTTATATGACCATTTTCATACCTTTCTTTATCCCAGAATTCAACAGCTGTTTCTGTGCCTTTAATATATATATGAATGACTTCTGCTCTGATTGGTGGCCCTGTATTGTGCCTCATTTAAAAAAAAAACAGTTCAGCCTGAAACACTCCTTTTAACTTCAGTGTGAAAGGGTGGAATTGAACTTCTGTAAGATAAATAGGCAGACATATGTAAATGCACTGGTTTTTGTGACATGACAAGAACAATAAGTTCAAAATGGGCTGTTTTTCTGCTTAGTTTCCATGGACTGTATGGACTGGGGAGCAAATGGTACTTTGAGAATGTTTACATACAAGAAATAAAATGTTCTCAAAGGAGAAACATATACCTGTCCAGCTGTGTCCAGAATTTCCATGCTGACCAACTCATCATCAATGTTGGCTTGATGTCGGTATGTGGACTCTTCAAAAAAAATGGAGAGAGAGAGAATACATTGGTAAAAGAGGTATACCTATATCTATCCATGTATCTATCTATCTATCTATATATCAATATAACTATATCTATCTATCTATCTATATATATATATATATATATATATATATATATATACATACATATGTACAAAATAATGGTAACTTCAGAGAAGAAGACACTCTTTAACTTTTGTAAGTTAACGTAATGGGATTTTATTCCAAGCAATTCTGGAGCATTTCTGTTGGTCCAGTAATCATGACATTTTCACACGATGTAAAGGACATCTGCTGTGTAGAACTTTTTTTTTGGACAGCAATGACATGGATGTATGCATGTATATGGTGAGGGGAAATCTACCTCTCCTCTGGGGCCCAGTTATGTGTCATTGTGGCATTGTGGCTTTGGGCCAGTTGGAGCTATACACCTGAGAATGAACAGATGCGCGGGTCTTCGTTGATTTCAGAATGCTTAAGCTTCTAGCTATAGGCTTCCAAACACATACACAAATAAAAATAGTCTGTAAACATTCAGTTAAACACTATTTGTACCCTAAAACAACAGTAGTATAAAATTACTTTTATACAGTTTTCTCTTTACTGCAAATCATCCTTACATCCTGTAAGTTAGCTTTGAGCAAACTGTTACATCTAAAAACAGACAAAAGTATAGAAAAAAACAGGCTTCAAGATGGCCATACAGTATACTTTTGTCTAATTTTATAGATAACAACAATAGTAGACAGGAGCCAAAAATGACTGAACCTTCTGTGAAATTATAAAAACATGTCTGTAATTTTTGTTATTAAATAGAATCATTGTGATTGTTGTATTTAAACTCTTTTATAACATGTTATAATAATACTATTATTTTAGTTTTGGTTGGAAAGAAAAGTGTTAAACTCCTGAAATGCCCAACAGCAAAATATCCAGTTAGGATTTTTCCCTCTGTGGTATCTAGTGTGTGTGTGTGTTTGTGTGTATATAACTGCTGTTTACTGGAGAAAGCAAAAACTTTCAGAGAGAGCAAAGATTTTATTCCAAGCAATTCTGTACCATTTCTACTGGTCCATTCATCATGATGTAAATTCAGACAATGTAAAGGACATTTGCTGTGCTCAAATGATGTAAAACATGCATGTGTATTGTATCTAATGTGACAGTAGGACCAACCAATTTTGGCCACTGTAGGCCTTCTGGAATTCCTAACTATGTCACTGCCAATACGAGTGGTAGCATCACCAGTGCCTATCAGTCAGAAGTTTGAAATGGAAAGCAGCAGCAGCAGCTCTGTGCCAGGATACTTTACTGTAAAGTCACTGTAAAACTGCTACAAGGCAAATAGAAGTTTGTCTGTTAGAAGCTTCAAATAAAATGTAGAATATGTTGAGGTTACAAGGTGCTAAGTTTTACAAGTTTAGCTTAGCAATAACATACCACTGGAATCCCATAAGGACGCTAGCAGAAATTAGAAGAATCCTCTTTTTGACTGTTTTTGACATTTATGGCACGAACTGAATGCATGGCTCTAATAGTCATGGTTTACCTTGGGATAACAGTATAACATAGAGTGTCAGAAATCACTTAAGAGCACAGTACTGCTTAAGGCGAGTGTGTAATGATTTAGGCATGCAGTTTGCACAGTGCTAACTGATGGTGTGTAAGCTTCCATTACTTGTTAGCTTCATTAATATTGTAGCTCCATTGCAAATTAAAGAAGCAAACCTCAGATATTAAACATGTCTTGGCTAATTGACTATATTAAGAGCAAAATTGTGTACATTTTTGTTGCCTGACTGTTCCTTTAAAAACCAAAAATACTCTAGTACTGTTTGAAAATGGCAACCAAAACACCATGTCTCTCTTAATCTTACTGAATTTGGTCATTTTTTGTCGGCATCAACAACATTCCAGATGCTTCATCTCAGAATATTGAAATACTTTCAATCCTTCAACACATTCCGGCTTTCCAACAGCTCCAAATCTGCTCCCTTCTTTAGCCCAAACCCACTACGGACATAAATCTGCCCTGGGCCACGTCCGTGAAAGATGTCACTACTTGCTGAGGGCGACAGTTCTATTGCTTCCTGGTGGTGTAATTCTCCTCTGAGAGCAGTCAGAGGCACGAACACCTGCTAAATTGCCCAGCCATGGCCATTCAGCTGGCTATTAGCACGCTGTGCTCCAATATATACAATACCACTCAAGCTGTTTAGACACATTAAAGCAGCATTATGCAAGAAAAGGTGTTTTTTTTTCCTACATGTAAACAACTGAAATCACGAGTCTGATCTGTAGCATCCATATATCTGCATGATGCGTGTGCATGCAAAGGGGAGTCGGAATTTGGCAAAGATAACATCAGAACAGAAAGAACCACGTTGGCTTACAAAGTAAAGTAATTTTACAGGATTTTATTACAGGGGGTTGATTTTATTTCTTTTCCATGCTAGCCTGAAACGGGGCTGAGGTTAAATGAATTTTGGAATCTGGAAAAACTACATAACCTCATGAGACAGGACTGACATAGATACGTTACAGCCTACTTCTTTCATAAATAACACTGGCAGGGATGTAATTTACACTCTTCTGTCAGATTTCCACTGTTTTCCTGATAGCCATGAGACAGATCACTACATGTAACGTGGTGCTGTAAAGCATTATGCAGTTCTCTCAACAGGTCTCATGCGCTCCTCTAAAGTTACATAGCGCCGTAGCAGGTGTTCTGGCCTGGAGTGGCAATGACAGAGACGCCATTCTCCCTATTAAAAGTCAGTGTACCACCAAAATGATTCTGATGCTGTTATTTTATATATTTATTTTAACTACTTTGCTTTAACGCATATAAAGGTTCTCCTTATTTTAGTGAACACCATCTAATTTATGCAGTGGCCCAAACCAAAACTATCTTCTATTTTTGATTCTTCAGTGCGGTTTTGCACAGTCTTGATCACTGTCTCAGGAAGCTTCATCTAGGATGCTTTTCCAACAGAGTTGAACGGGGGTCTCAAACTCAAATCACTGTAGGGCCACTAGCCAGGTGGTCTTCTCCGTGAATCTTATGAATTTTAACTACATAACACGCACAATCAAGCACACTTGGTCTAGTTAATAATACCCCTGATGAATTCAGTGAGCTAATGTCTGTTCTCAGGTGTCTTTGATGCATAGCTGACTATATGTCATTTGACAATGCACTGTTATTAGTGTTATTGGTATTAACAGTAGCATTTGTACCAGGATTATAAATCAAATCCTGAACTTCTTTGTGCAGAACAATGATTATGTGATCCCACCGCTATACAGTTTGGTTAAAAAAAACATTTAAAGTAGCAGATCTGTAATTCTTTAAGAAAACATAATGTGGGGCTACTGAGCGGTGCAACTGTCCAAGCATAGTCCTTATCATCAGGAGATCACAAGCTCAATAGCCTTGCTGTCTCTGGTTGGGTAGGATGGCGCCCACCCATCTCCCGGACCAGTGCTAGCCAAAATGGGCATCTGCTAGCTGACGTAACAGAATTAGCAGTTAGTGTTCTCTTCCAAGCACATGGCTGGCTACACGTTTCTTACAGAAAGCGTTTACTGGCCCTCACCATCCCAATATGTGACAGACATAGGTGTCAACTTCACTGTTTAGGTTCATCTCAGACACAAATTTCAAGCATTTACGACAGAACGTCACCCTGTAACTCCTTTTTTCATTTTTTATTCATTTATTTTTATTTACACCACTTGAATTATTTTTTTTAATTAGTAATATTAAGCAGGTAAAATAGAGCACATATATTCAATTTTGAAAATCAGCCATTCACTGCAAAGAACAGAGAAGAAAAGAGAAAAAAGAGAGACAAAATAGTACATCAGAATACAGGTTCAGCATTTGTATATAAAATTCAGTTGTATGTGGTGCCAAAAATTGATCCCATATATATTTTTTACTTTCCTCTCACCCTTAATTCTTCCTAATATCACTTCATAAGATGCAGTTTCCATCACTTTGTCAACCCAGCTCTTTAGAATCAGGAGTTTTAGGGCTTTTACAATACGTAATATTGTCCTGGCAGCTGTACTTATGCCAACTTTTATTCAAGTAAAACTGAAATTGCAGGGTTACTTACAGCATTTGAACACACCAGCTGCCCCTAACATTTTATGATGAATGGACCAACAGAAATGGTCAAAAATTACTTGGAGTAAAATCTTGTTACAGTAACATAGATGAAAGTAAAGGGCATTTTTTCCTTCTTCAGTAGTTAGCAATTGGGAAATGATTTTGTTTGAGTATAAAAAAACATACATTCAATCAGGTGTGTTCAAACTTTTGACTATACATACTCTCTCTCTGCTCAAACGCACATGTGTGAAAGTGTGGATGGATATTTCAACACATGACAGCAGAACGACAGAGCGACTGTTGTGTGGTGACAATCCAAAAGCCTGTCATTTTTCTGAAAGCAAATCATTAACTCCTATGTGCTCTTAAACTATGGTGCTTTTCCTCTATAGTAACTGTCAGTGTAGAAAATCAAAGGCTTCAAAATGCCACAGAAAACGTGCTGCCCACCATAATGCTGTGCCACATATGACAAATTTACATACTGTGCCTCTTTGAGTCTTTTGAGTTTTTTCAGGGCAACTACAATTCATTTTCCCGACATAGCATCCACTATAATTCTGAAGTGGATAAGTACATTTGATTATGCATGAATGTGTGAAAATGTGCAGGGGGTGATGAGGCACTGAGACGAACATAAAAGCAACAATTTACGCCGGCTCACATTCCTGCACCGCCTGGACTCACATGGCTTTCATTGACTTAAGACTAGGTGTCATTGTCTGTCAGAGAGACACTGCAGTGCTAGTTAAAACCTCTCTCCATTTTATAGGGGAGTTGGCAGTCAGTCTCCAGTTAGTAAACCTGTAAACATTCCTGACCCATACGCTAGCGATTTAATGGACGCCAGCGAGGGACGACTACAGTGAAATGAGGATTTACTCCTCAAAGAACGGCTTGAGAGTCAAGCCCTTCATCCCTGCTTAAAATGTCTGTGTTCTGTTCAGTGATAAAACTCAGTTTTGCCCTTAACTGGATAACTTTGGGCACAACAGTGGAATCCACACACAGTGGAAAAGGACACACATGCAAAAAGTTAGAATTGCCTGTTCCAGTTTTTCTAATAAAACTGAATAGCCCGTGCAATGAGTGGTACAGTGGTGTAGCAGTAATTCACTGAAACTGACTCAATTTCTCCCTAGGCCAAATGTAGTTAATCAGCCAAGAGAAGTCACTCTGGTGTCTGATGTTTGCTTCTTTAGTTTTGTGCTGGACCTAAAAGGCTAATGTAAACATCGGTTAGCTTTGCGTACACCTAATCTCAAATAGGCTTACTTATGTGGTTATAGTGAAAGTCAAAAGTACAAAATAACATTCAGGCTTTCATCGCTGCTACTACTGTTTCTAGCATTGCAATGCACTTTTGGCCTTTTTTAACAGATCATATGGTGCCAGAAACCACATAAGCAAGTCTATATAACATTACATAACAACTCAACATGGTTTGAGGTAAATGTACATTGATTTACAGCACTGTACAAAAGTCAAAGACGCCTTTTATTTATTCCATTTACAGTAAAAATGACCATTAAATAATTAAAAGTTATTCAATTTTCAGCATCAAGAGAAAACGCAGAAAACGTTTATTTAACAGAAAGTGACAGAGAATTCTCAACAACTAAATATAATATTAAATTTTCTTCATTTAATGCAGAGGTGTCCAATCTTATCTGCAAAGGGCCGGTGTGGCTGCAGATTTTAACTCCAAACAAGCTGAAGCACACCTGATTCTACTTGTTTAATCAGTCGGTCTAAGTCTCCAAACATTTCATCAGGTGATCTCCTGCTTTGTTGGAGTGAAAACCTGTAGCCACACCAGCCCTTTCCACATAAGATTGGACACCCCTGAATTAGCTTCCATTTTTTTGGAAGACTTGCTTTCAGTTTTTCTAATAAATCTGCAGTGCTATTTTTCAACACTTCCAAAGTTCAGTCTTAGACGTTGGTTGAATTTTCCGCTTCTCATGATCCAAGTAATCTCAAACACATTCAGTGACTCTGGGGTGGTAAGTCCATTGTTCTAAGAACAGCAGGGGTGCACAACTCTGGTTCCTGAGGCTGGTGTCCAGCACAGTTTAGTGATTTACCTGCTCAAACACACCTGATTACACTCAGCTGTAAATTGCTAGGTTTAGTTGGTGTGTTTCAGTAAGAGAACAGACTGGAGTTGTGCACACCTGAAAAACATCATCAGCTTCTTTGTTTGATTTGCAAATTTTATTCTTTTTTGTCCATTTCCTTTACCTTACTCAGAGCATTGAGTTGTCATCTCAGTGAAAGAATGGACAGAAACATCAGTGTTTTTTTCAGGCCTGAGCTGCTCCTTCACACCCCAGTGATTCTCTCTTCCAGTGATTTCCATCTCAGTGGAGACCAAGAGTGAGAGCCCTACAGATTCTTACCCCAGGCCATCATTCTCCTAAACAAGGAACCTTCTCATGTCCCTATACTTTAAACAGTTTCACGTGCATTTTATTAGACACAGTGTAATGTACACAGTCACTGTATATACCATGCCAAAACCCCTCAAATAACTTTTTCTATTTTACTGTAGACACCTGCATCAAAAGTACTTCCTTGTACATCTGGTACTTGGCAAATAAAGATTGTCAGTCTGATTCTGAACTGATTGCAACAGTATTGGTAGTCTAGTAGATCTTGCACAGTTGTTAGGAATCCTATTTTCTCTCTATATTTTAATAATGATTTTAACTCCAGTTTTGAAAACATGTTTTTTTCCTTTGACTTTCTTCTACCTTATGCAGGTGGGTTATCTGAAATCTAATCTCCTCAGAAATCTCCTAGTACTTGACTGGAAATTCAGAAAACAAGGGGTCTCTGACTGCACAGTACTGTAAGTATGCAGTCTGCAGTGCTAACTGGTAGAGTAAGCTATCATTACTTGTTAGGTACACTACATGTCCCAAAATTTGTGGACCCCCCTTTCTTATTAGTAAATTCCATTCAAATGCACACACAGCTTGTATAGTCTCCCTAGAAAAGCACTGACAACAGAACAGGATGCTCTGGTGCAGCCAAACATGAGCCTAGGCTCACCATGTCCAATGCCAAGCATAGGCTAGAGAGTTATGAAGCCCCCTAACACTAAGCTGTGGAGCAGTGGCTTTGCGTTCTCTAGCGTGATGGAGCACCAACCATTACCTTCAGGATGAGTTTTAGTGGCATTTATTCTCCCGCTGCTGAATGCAATCAAACTCTCACAGCAATGTTCCAACATTTAGTGTAAAGCCTTCCCCAAAAAGCAGAGACAGCTACTGCAGCAGAGAGGGACAAACTCCTTTTAACACTCTTGATTTTGGAAGAAACATTGGATGAGCAGGTGTCTACAAACTTTTGGCCATACTTGTTAGCCTTGCAGCCCCAGTGCAAAAACATTCGATTAACTGCATTGTTTCAAAAGGTGAAAATCAACCGAACTTGCGCTGTAAAACAACAGCTACTTCTATCTTGTAGCAGTAACAGAGCTGAACGAGCTTTCTGCAGTGTGTGCTAGGTGGTTAGTGAGGGAGTGATGGTGGTTGCTCACCACACTATGGTACAAAATCTCAATATTGGCCTACAGCTCCCTTCACAGTGATGCAGTAGAGGGGATGTTCAGAGTGCAAGCTAGTCTGGTTGATCCGTGTGCTGGTTTTTGAAGCTGTCAGATGGTGAATTCCCACTGGATCAAGACTTGCATTCTGCACAGACCACAAAACCGTTTCTTTTGGAAACACAGCCTACTATCAACCTGCTTAGCCTGAATGATACATTCAATAAAGGCATCCACTTACACATGCATGCATGCATAGAGGAGCTACACCCAAGTGAACACAAGTGCAGTCAATCAGACATCCACAGACAATCCTCATGATCATGGATCATCAAAGTACACTCACAACCTTTGCCAGCCACAAATCTTCAAAAGCGAGCACAGAACTAAAACTAAAACTAAAACACCTCATGTCAAAGGCAGATTATGATTGCAATCTTTAGAATTCCTAATGTGGTACAACAAGCAGTGATAAGAGGCAGACAGCTTTATCTGCCCCTGACCGTTCTCCACTATTCATCCGCCTCCACAGATTTGATTTGTCATGCCTTGCTTTGAAATACAAACCTCTGGAATGGGCTTCTTTGGCTAGAAACCTTGGCGAGATATGTTTTTTTTAACTGTGTTTTATGGGCGTTCGCCACAAAGGTTCAAAGAGGTGAGTTCTGAGGACCAGCAGTACTTTTACCTCGGTAATGATGGGCCCTTGAGAGCCAGCATAGCACAAGTGCTCTTAATGTACTGGTGTTCTTACCCAGTGTAGGGTCATACTCCCAGATGAAGCGCTTGGTCAGGAACCTCACAACCAGGGCTGAAGACAGAGAGAGAGAAAGAGAAACAAACATGATTATGTTTATGCAATAGTTGTATGCAATCAGCCCCAAGTATGAAATTACAATCAAAAGCACTCTGCAAATGACCCTGAAGGGAACCAGCATGCAAAATATAAGTGTATTTTTAAACCATTCTGCAAACAAAATTACACAAGCTGTGTATTGTTTTACAGTTGTTTTGTCTATAGATTGTGACAACTTTAACACATGAATAGCTGGTACTATGGCCTTCTTCCACAACATCATGTCTCAAATGATAACCAAGGGGAAAGAATCACCAGACTGCACCATGGACCTCTCCATCAGTGAATGGGGAACGGATTGCCTTTAGCTGTTTCCCCGTAGTCTAGGTCAAAGTGAAGCAAAATTAGCTCTGATGGAGTGAGATACTTATCAGTAGAGTAAGTGCTGACTTCTTTCAGAGCAGGCTAGAGTGGCTGTTCTTCTTGAAAAATCTCTTGCTTTTCTTTAAACTTTGATTTTTTCAGTAACTATGCAATCACTGGCCATTTCACTAGAAACTCTTCTAACCCTACTGCAGGGCAGTGTTCATAAGGCTACATGACACCTATGTAAGTCCTTTATAACAACTGACATAGACCTACATAAACATTTAATAAACATCCTGATACTGATATTCTCACTAGAAATTGTGGTAACACCATTTCATGTAGGGCAGTGTTCATAAGACTACATAACACCTTTATAAGTTCATGAGCCCTTCATGACAGCTAACCTAGGCCTACATTAACTGTAATAGGCGTAATTTGTCATTAAGGTTGTATTTGCCAACTTTGATGTCAAGTTGATGTAATTATCTGTGTCAGGGAATATAATGCTGACAAAATCACACAACTTGCCAAGTGAGGATAGTTAACAAAAGTGAGCATTTTCTGTGGTCCTTGGGTAATTTTACCATTGTACCATTTAGATTTAAACTCATCACATCACCGTTATGTCACTGTTATATACACTAAGCTACAAAGTTAAATGTTAATGTGCTATATCATTTCTCCCAAAGTGTCTCCCATCAAAGTGTTTGTCAGAAAAATTCAATGTCATCTGACATAACTTGACAAAAAGATGTTTATGTAGGTCTAAGTCAGTTGTCATCAAGATGTAGGTGTCATATAGCCAGAATTCCTGATTTTCAGAACAAGTGTGCCGGTGTAAAGTTAGACTGCATTCCTTTTATCCATTTTCAGTTTCTGATGACCCAACCAGTAGTGATAACAACGTGTATAAACACCTCTGCAGCATCGCTCTGCCTGATACACTCATGCCTTTCTTTAACTATTATGTCAGTGTCACTGCTGTGTTAAGAATGTTCCATCAACTAAAGGGTCCATATCATGCAACAGCGAATTTACCTCACTTTTTTTAAATAAAGGAGTTTGAAGTAGTATGTAAACTAGGGTTGGGGGGAAAAAATCGATTCTTAGATGCATCACGATGCGGACGTGGACGATTCTTAATCGATTCATTCAACGTCAAAAATCAATTTTCTAAATATTTAATTTATAACGTAATGTTGATGGAACACAAAGAGCGGAACTTGGAAGTGGGTAAGTGCAGCGCCCGGACAGTCTGTGGCGACACATAACTATAACACAACTGGATGAGCGAGAAATCCGACCGGCTCCCGCTGCATTAAAGCCAGGTTAGGTCAGGAGTCACAACCCAAATGATAAGAAGAGACATTTTGTCCTTTAACATAAATCAAACCACCTTGGGAGCCACAACATTTAATGTCCAGTATGTCTCAGTGTGTGTTAATGTCCTAGTATAGACTAAACAATATAAACGAAAACACGGACTTACTCTACTCTGCTTTAAGCTTCAGCTATAGTCGCTTTTCTTCCATCTCTGCCAGAAAACTTTTCCTCAAAAGTTGAATAGTTTCTTGTAAAATGTCTTTCAGCTTTCGGCTGTTTTACAAGGCTGAAGTTGCTTCTCATTCGCCAGCTTCTGGCTGAACTTTGCCGTTCCACCTTCCACCTGCGGCACCATTTAAGGTGGAACGGGAAAATTAGAAAGAGAAGCGACTTCATCTTCGCAACTTTTTAGTGTTTGACAGTCTCTTTGCAGATTTAACGTATCAGGAAACCAACTACGCTCCTTATAAACGCTAATAAGTACATTCATCTCCAAATGTTCGTCTGTCTTTCTCTTTTCCTTTTTCGTTCGCTACTAGCCAGGCAAAACCTCGTTGCTAGGTGACCTGCAGTCTTTCGCGCTCCCCCCTAATCTATCACGAGACCAAAACTGAAGTTATAAAATCACTAAAGAAAACAGGTAGGACGGCTGTAATGTGCTCCGTGGTCATCCATTACCACTGGATCTTGTTTCACCGTAACAGCGCATTTTATCACAGATGAGTGGCAGCAGCGTCTCCAAACAAGAGCAGTGAATGAGAGCCTTCCAGTTCACTTGCCACATCACGTCCATTTGATTTATTAATAAAAGATGTTGGACGTAAATGCATTATGGATCATTACAAATACTTAGCTTTAAAAGTCCCAAGTCCTCAGACAGACATTGAAATTATAAGGAGTGTTTCAGCTCTGGGTGCTTTTTGAATAAGGCACATTACAGGGCAGCCAATCAGAAAGAGCTCCTTTGTCTTAGATCAGTCTTAAGTGCACAGTAACAAAAACAGTCTGTTTAATTCTAAGGGATAAAGAGGTATAAAATGAATTATTTTTGGTAAAATTCCACAAAATGTTGTAAATGGAAAAAAATACAACTGAGATGCAGGATTTGGACCCTTTTCTTGTGATGAACGGGGTAGAAGATGGCTAACACTACTCATGGGCTACAGTCTGAGCCAGATATACTGAGCCATTTGAGGCACTTTTAGGTGCAAGTCGGGCACGTTCTGCCGACATATGGTCAAAAGCTCTCAGGATCAGATGAACAGTACAAATGTGTCTCGATACCACAATATTCCTCTAGACCAGGGGTGTTCAATCCTGGTCCTGGAGCTCTACCATCCTGTAGCTCCAACCCTAATCTAATGTAAATGAAGGTCTTCAGGAGCATCTGACAATTAGAGCCAGGTGTGTTGGATCTGAACTCTTCAGAGTGGTAGATCTCCAGGACCAGGATTGAGCTCCCCTGCTCTAGATTGTTTTGGTAGAAATAACTTTAACTTAGAAAACTTCATCTTCATCACAAAATTTTCATTTTCTCTTCTGTCACATGAACAATCACCTGTCACTCAAATTGACTGACAGCGGTATACCAAAGCGATACTGGGTTTCTCATTTGTCCAAAGTCCCAGGCACAGCAGCACTAATTTCATTTGCCTCCAATTAACATCCAGATGCTTGGCAGACATCCCAAAGAACCTTGCCTGTCAGGCTTTCCAGCAGTTTTCCTGCGCTCACTGAGCGTTCTCGGCTCAGCTCCTTACTGTGACACGCTCAGAGGAAACACAGGCACTTGGCTGATTTCACTCTGGCCTTACCATAACTTGTTATTCCACTCCTGCTGGGCCAGCACGCTGATTAATTACATCATTATACAACTGGAGAGCGTGCAACAAATAATCCGTTTGATGCTTCCTCCACTGGCCACCTGGCCCACAACTGACACACTGCTTCTGAGCAGGTCTCCTTTATCTCATTCATTTCTTTTATATCGAACTGCGTGAACGTGGCTTGTAACTGACTCACTTGCTCAGTCAAGTTTAGCGGATGGATGATTCTCCACAAGAGGGAGCTATTTGCACTTAAAGCAACATTATGTTACAATTTTCGTTTTAAAATAACAGCTACAAAATGATATTGATGATACACTAACTTGTAGAGAATAGCGTCTCTGTCATTGCTACTCCAGGTCCGAAAGTCCCTGCTATAGCACTGTGTAACTTTGGAGAAGCGGGCATGAGATCTCTCACAAGAACTGTGTAACACTTTACGGCACCACGTCAGGTCTTCAGCTAGCTATAAGAAGAAGCTCATTATTCCCAGCATGGACATCATGGCAGAGACTGAGAAGAGACCGAAGTTGGAGGAAGCAAGGAAGAGAAAAAGAGTGATGGAGCAAGAGGCCGGACAAGAGTAAATCTCAGACTGGCTTTTACTCTTTGCAGATTACACTTGCAATTTTTGTTATACACACATAGAAACAATCGAAATTGTGAGTACAATCTGTAGCGTCCATATGCCTGTATGACACACATGCAAGTGAGGCGGAGTCAGATTCTGCCGGGGAGTCAGAATTCAGCACAACACTGGCAAAGACAACATCAGAAGTTCTCAAGTTTATGTTTTTACAATTAAACAGAATAAAACTGAATACTATTGTACACTGCTTGTTTATTTATTCTTAAATATTTTCCTTGTGACGGTTTCTGGCTCTATGAAAATTAACATGCATTAGCAGCAACAGTCCAGCATCGACCTCACTGAACTACAGCTGGGGACATCAGCTTCATGTTCAAAGCTGAAAGCTAAAAGGGTAGTGATATAGTTTATGTGGTGCAACCTGTTGTGATTTCATGATGCGTAAACCTGAATTTAGTAAACACTAATGTTATAACTAGCTTCTGTTCTGAACTTACATACAGCTGGCGCAACCAGCTCCTAGTCATCAGCTATGTCAGACAGAACATGCAAAGCAACAACAACTATGCACAAGGTGACACTGTGATGTTTTACAAAGATGCATCTTGCCCACTTACACAGCAATAATTTAAAAATCTCTGAATGTTCTGTTTTCAGAGACCAACATTACTCTTTCTTAAAAGATACTTGTTTGCATGTGGAATATGAGGCCTAAGAGTGCTGATTCACATTAGTGTCACTGTGGGCCAAGCATAACCCTCCTACTTACTCACTGGGTTAGAGATATTCTAGCTTTCCTTAGTCTTTAAAAAATAAAGTATCAACCTATGATAAAGTAACTATCTGGTGGTGTCTCAGTAAATGTTACAAAGCATGGCAACCTTTCATTTGCTATTGGGATACAATAA